CTTGGCACGAGTCTTCCAGCGAGAATCATCAGTCACAAACTCCCCCACCTGAGCTTGGCAAAGCACAAAGCTGGGAAAGCGAATGGCTTCCAACGATGGGTTCACGCGCCGGATTCCTAAAAATGCATCCCGGGACGTCGCCGAGCACGCTGGCGCAAAAAAAAAGCAATGGAAACCAATGTGCTTTTCCCGTTGCATTTTTTTTGCAACTTGAAGCTCAAAGTGTAAAAAAAATAGGGAAAAAAGCGAAAAAATGCAAAATAAATGCAAAAGTGCAAACTGAAATGCAACCGGAATTGCAACAATCTAATGATGCAGATACGTCTTGCAAAAAAAAAGCAACGCTGGGATCGCCAATCTTCCCGTTGCAAAAAAAATGCCATTGGGACAGGGGATTGCAAAAAAAAACGAAGCAACCACCAAATTGCAAAAAAAATGCGATGTGACAAACAAAGTGCAAAAAAAAGCGATGTGACCGGCAAAGTGTAAAAAAAAGCGATGGAACGGGCAAAGTGCAAAAAAAATGCAATGTGACAAACACAGTGCAAAAAAAAAGCGATGTGACCGGCAAAGTGTAAAAAAAAAGCGATGGGACGGGCAAAGTGCAAAAAAAAAAGCGATGGAACGGGCAAAGTGCAAAAAAAATGCAACTGGGCAGTTTGTTGTGTCTCGCATTTGGCAAAGGCAGCCAACAGGATGAAACCACAAAACCACGACTAGCAGCACTTGTTTTTTTTTTGTGTGTGTCTTTGTGTGTGGATCTGCATACTCCTCTGCTTCTGAAGCAATGATCAGGACAGCACGACGTGTCCAATACCCAGTTTTTTTACATGCCAACACAAAACACCACAGATGCATGACTGACATTTTTTTTAGTTCGTTGTGAGAAAAAGAAGAGAGAGGCACCCATTAAAAAAAATGGAAGTCCATATAAATCAGTTGTGCTCGCAGGGCCAGCTTACCGACGCAGTTGGAATTGACCCTGCGGAAAAAAAAGGAAAATGAAAGTTGCATTTTTCTAGTTGTTTTTTATTTACAATTGTATTTTGAGGTTGCTTTTTTTTCGTATTTATGTTGTATTTTTAATTCCTGTCAAGGCACATAGTCTGTACCTGGTGCCACGACTTCAAATCTACATCTTCACGTCTGCAGATCTACGTCTTCACATCTTCACCTACTACCTTTGCTATACATGGGGGTCGGTATATTTCAACTAAAACGTGCCATATCTTGCGAGAGTGAAAAACAAGCCCTATCTGCCTTGCCTACTTGTCTTTCGGGTACCCACTCGGGATCTAGTTTCTTCTGGCATGTCTTTTGCTTGTCTTTCGGGCATGTCTTCTGACAAATCTTTCTTGATTTGGATCTTGCGGTCGAGCTAGCTGTTGAGGTCCAGCTTTCACATTAAGACGCTGAATGCAGCCAAGGCTCCTCCATCTTCGTCCAAGACGCACCCGCGTCTCTGGAGGCGCTCGACCAAATCGAGCCCTGCTTGCCTGGCCGCCTCCCACTCCTCCTCCGAGACGAAAGTATGGCTTGAAGATGATGACTGGTGAATGATGTTGATGAATGGTGATGATGACGGTGATGGTGGTGTCTCACTTGCGAACCTCACTCACTTGCGACCTTGACTAGTTGGTGGTTTGAGCCATCCCCAAAGATGTTAGTGAAATTGCATGAATATCTTATCTATATATATATTGTACATGTATAAATGGTAAAAATATATACATATATATGTTATATATGTATATCGGTATAGTATGGTTAAGAGCTTCGATCCGAAGCCATGTATATATTCATGTATGTACATATGTATATATATATATTGGAAAATGAAAGGCCGTGGCTGAAACCACCAAGCAATTGATCTGTGGGTGACATCAGGGAACCAGGAACAGTTGGAGCCATCCCAGGACATCCTCAGGCTCGCTGTCCACCGACTCCTCCTGCAAGGTCAGTAGAGTCAGCTGTCGGATTTTATGGGATTTCATGGTAATTTTATGGGATTTCACGGTGATTTTCTTAGATTTCATGGTGATTTTATAGGATTTCTGGGACCCCGGAAGAGGTTCTATTAATTCTATAATTAATTTTTCCGTTCTATAATTAATTGTTCCGTTCGACGGAAAAATTAATTATAGAACGGAAAAATTAATTATAGAACAAAAATGGGAAATGTGAGAAAAATGGGGGAAAACAGAATTATAGAACAACAGCGCTCCGACAAGAATTATAGAACGACAAAAAAAATTAGGAGGAAGATCAGATACATTTTTTTTCATACCTTCCGAGGAAAACAGAATTATAGAACAACAGGGTACGGTAAATAACCGTACCTTCGTCCTCCTCAACTTCCGTTCTATAATTCCGGCACTGACCATACATCTTCATGTCTGCAGATCTACATCTTCAATCTTCACATCTTCACATCTGCAGACCTTCATCTTCAGGTCTTCTCGTCTAGAGATCTTCCTCTTCACATCTTCCTCTTCACATCTTCTCTCTCTCTCTCTCTTCTTCTCTCTCTCTCTCTATGTCTCTGTCTCTGTCTCTGTCTCAGTCTCTGTCTCTGCCTGTCTCTGTCTCTTTCTCTGTCTCTTTCTCTTTCTCTGTCTCTGTCTTTGTCTCTGCCTCTGTCTATGTCTATGTCTCAGTCTCAGTCTCTGTCTCTGTCTCTGTCTCTGTCTCTGTCTCTGTCTCTGTCTGTCTCTGTCTCTGTCTTTGCCTCTGTCTCTGCCTCTGTCTCTGTCTCTGCCTCTGTCTATGTCTCTGTCTCAGTCTCAGTCTCTGTCTCTGTCTCTGTCTCTGTCTGTCTCTGTCTCTTTCTCTGTCTCTGTCTTTGTCTCTGTCTCTGCCTCTGTCTATGTCTCTGTCTCAGTCTCTGTCTGTTTCTCTGTTTCTCTGTTTCTCTGTCTCTCTGTCTCTCTCTCTCTCTCTCTCTCGCTCTTGTCTAACGTCTCTCTTAAGGCAGAGGCAGCGCCGACGGATCGCCACGAAACGTGGTAGGCGCAATGTTTCGTGCACATCAGGCGTCAAAAACTGAAGAATAGTTACAACTTTGATGTTTCCCGCGGCACCCCTTTCGCACGAAATACACGTTGAACGTCAAAAACTGAAGAAAAGCTGCAACTTGTGTTGGCCTAAAGTCACTTCTTTTGCACGAAATGGGCGTCAAATGTCAAGAACTGCGGAAAGTTGCAAGTTTTGGTGGGCCGGAACGGGCCGGCGTACTGGAGCGGTGATGATAGCAGGGGTCCTTTTGAGATCTTCCGGCGATCCTCTGGATCGGCCCTGGTGCCACGAAGCATCGCTATGATCGCACGAAGTTGCGTTTTTGAATGATGTATGGTACGAATCGTCTTTTGGGCGCTGCGTTCTCGTCTACGTTGGTGTCTGCTGTCTTTGATAGGAGATGCCTTTTGGCATAGCTGTGTCTTGGATCGTCGCTGTGCCATGCGCGGAGTTGTCGCAGGATTCTCCTTGTATTCCATTTTGCATTACAATTCGGCTGGCAAAAGGTTCTTGTTGGAGACAGCTCTGCTTTTTTGGTAAATTGGACGATTTTGGTTTTCTTTGCAAATTTCCTTTTCAAAATGCTTCGAAAATCATAATTTTCGGGCTTTGGGCTGAAAGCTGTTTTTTTGTGACAGTTGGTGGGGTTTGCGAAAACTGAGGGTCGCCGTGCCATGCATGGAACTGTCGCAAGACTCTTCTTGCATTCCGTTCTGCATTAGAATTCGGCTGGCAGGAGGTTCCTGTTGTGGACGGCTCTGTCTTTTGCAATTTGGACATCGCTCGTTTTCTTCATAAGATCCGTTATAAAAACGCATTTCGCAGCTTTGGACTGGGAAGGTGGTTTCGCGACGGTTGCTGGAATCTGCCTAAGCTGGCATCCCTTCTTCACACATATCTGCACATCATGACATATCATCTTCACAGGTGTTCGGACATGTCCACACATTTTCGTCCCGCATCTGCGCACATCATCACACCTCATCTGCACACATCTTCACACATTTTCTGCACGCACATGTGCGCACACACACACACATCACCACACATCTCCTTGACAGATCTTTTTCTCAGATCTTCACATATCTCCACGCATCTTGCCACGCATTCGCGCATCATCTTGGCCCATCTGCACACCTTCCTGTAACATCTTCCTCCACAGACACCGCCCAACGCATTTTCCTTGCAAATGACGCAGGACATTGTTGCATAGGAGAAACTGGGAGTACTGATGCCAATCGCGTTGAACATGTCACTAAAGGGTATCCACCTGATTTCGTTGTCTCTCTGGTAAAATGCATGTGGAATGCAGGTTTTGGCGGTGTGTGATTCAGGGCACCAATCTGGATTAGCTCCTTTTTAAGCAAAGGATGGTAAAGGTGTGTCAAGCCATGACTAAGCAAAGACATGCGAAAAGGACTGGCTCCGGAGTTGCGTGCGTAAAAAACACAGATGCGATTTCGGGCACTGACCCGGGTTTATTGATTTTCAACGTCTATCTTGACATCTTTGCAGCCTCACATCTTTGCACTTTCACATTCTCACATCTTCATGCCTTCACGTCTTGGCATCTTCACGCCCTCCCACCCTCACATCCTCCTATCTTCACACGCTTACATCTTCACATCCTCACACCTTCCCACCCTCACATCCTCACATCTTCACCTACTCACATGTTGGTATTCTCATGTTTTCATATCTTCGAACCCTCACATCCTCACATCTTCACATCCTCACATCTTCACCTTCTCACATCTGCCGACCTATATCTCCACATCTGCTCACTTACATCATCACATCTTCACATCTTGACATGCTCTTGTCTTGACATCCTCAAATCTTGACATCTTTTATACCTTCACATTTTCTCACCCTCACACCCTCACACCCTCACATCTTCACACTCTCACATCCTTGTATCTCAATGCCCTCACATCCGCACGTACTAACGCATTGACATCCTCACAGCTTCACATCTGCTCACCTCACATCTTCAAATCTGGACATCTTCCGAACCGCACATCTTCAGATTCCAACATTCCCTCAGCGCTCTCGGGCCAACCGTCGTCTAGTTTCACCATAAAAAACTAAGGTATACTAAGGTATTGTATATTGATGATCCCCAAAAATGTTCATGGTTAACTGGTAAAAAAAATGATTTTTGAAATATTGATGGTTTCACCATGAATAAACCATGGTTATTCCATATATTCCATATATAAACCATGGTTAACTGTTGGATTTTTTTGATGCACACGGCCGACCACACCACGGCCGACCACAAGGTCCCCTCGACCCGACCAGACTTTTGGACCAGGTCTCCGGCGCCCGAATTTTCCGAGCCTCAGTTCACAGGATGTCACCTGGATCTACATATCTGGGTAAAATCATAGTACTCCCAATATATATATATATAATATGTTATATATATAACATATATCTATATCTATCTATCTATCTATCTATCTATATATGTATATATATATAATTATGTATATATATATATATATTCCCATGGTATTCCCATGGTATTGCCATGGTATTCCCATGATATCTGGGTAAATGATATTAAATCATTATTGGGAATGAACTATATGTACTATATTGAAGTGAATTTAAACCGGATGAATGGGAATATTTTTTTTTTTTAATGGGTATATCAATGAATTTGGGGGAGTCAATGGATAATCATTGATAGAAAGTGATTAAACAAAACCGACTGATGCATTGGTACCTGGATAAAAATTACCACCGGACAAAGATCTATTGATATACCACTTTCACTTAAGGGCGCGAACATCTATTTATTCTGAACCATTCGTATTGCTGTGAAGATATGGGGAAATGCCATTTGTATGAACAAATACCCTTCCCATTTGTGAACGTGTGTGAAGCAATTCATGCATATGTCTGGTTTGGATCCATGCCCTTTCCATCTTTTAAATTACGTAAAGTATCAGATGAATAGCACGATTTAACCTACCTACAATGGTGCATTTTTTCATGAAAATGAAGCATATGACTATGATCATTCAATTTTGTGTTTGAAGCCGTATGAAGAATAGGTGACATTCATTGGGACTCTGATCATACTTGATACTGGTTGGTGGTTGACCTACCCCTCTGAAAAATCTGAGTTCATCAGTTGGGATCATTATTCCCAACTGAATGGAAAGTCACACATTTCCATGGTTCCAAACCACCAAGCAGGATTTTTTTGGTCATTTTCTATAGCTATTCTATAGTTTCCAGGGTAAATCCATCGTTTTACCATATGAAGCCCCCAAGCAGTTGAAACAAAGCCCTGGTTTCCTGCATTGCCTGGAGCCCTCGACCCTGGGGACCCTGGGGACCCTGCCTCCCGTCTCAAGGGATTCACCAGCGGCCAGCGAAAGACCTAAGTGTGATGTTTGTTCCTAAGATTTGCAGCCCCAGATGATGATGGACAAGCTAGTATGTAAATATACATATATATATATATGCGTATATATATACATACACGTATATACATACATGTATATATACCTACACGTATACATGCGGTATATGAGGGTTTGTTTCATGGTCTTAGAACCTTTTCTTCTGCATCTGATCACCAATCATCCAAAGTATTTGGTGGATTTCAACCCCTACAAGGTGGTGCCAGCATCATGTCTATCAACCATTGATGCATATTGGGGAAAAAACGTCACCAATAAAAAAAAAAACATTTTTTCAGAATGGACATGAAAACCATGTGATATTCACCTAGTTACTAACACATTTGTCCCATGGTCATCCCAGGTTAGCTGGTCTCCACTGGTCATTCCATTCGGCAATCCGTTCGAATTGTCCTTTTTGACCGTCCAAGAAGTGGCAACCACCAAGATCACCAGGCCGTGGTGGGATCACCATGACTTGGCTGGTTACTCCTCTGGTAAATTGGCTGGTTGACCTACCCCTCTGAAAATCATGGTTTATTGTTTAATGGGACTAATGATTGTGATTCAATGGGATATTAATGGGATATACCCTCTGGAAAGTTGTTACAGTTTGCGAACTTGAAAAATAGCATGGTGGATCTTTCCATAGTTGTGTGGCTACGTTTACCAGAGGGTAAATCCATTGCATATTGAAGTCATAAACCACCATAGCTTTTGTATACACCATTGAATATATTGATGATCCCCTACTGGTGAGAATACCCTTGACTGTATCAACCGTTACATCCATTACTAATATGGACATTTCAGAAACCTAAATTAGAGTACCTACCATTAATACAAGGCCTAAAAATCAGGGCTACATTTCAGGGAATATCCCCACAATAATATGTGGCCTCATATGGTACAGTACCTCGGTTTTAGAATCCTGAAATTCCCATTGGTTTACAATATTGATATCCCCCCATCTAAAATCCAAGGTACAGATCAAGGAATTTCCATTGTAAACCATCGATGTTGGGGTGCCCCCATTTCAGGAAACCCCCGTATGGACATTACCCTCTGGTAAACTAACATAGCTATGGAAAATCACCATCTTTAGTAGGTAAATCAACGAAGTAAATGTGCCATTTTCAATAGCCACTGTGGATGGTTTCGGTGGTAAACATACCATCTGGTTGGTGGTTGACCTACCCCTCGAAAAATGATGGAGTTCGTCAGATTCGATCATCATCCCAACTATTGGGGAAAATTACAAATTCCATGGTTCCAAACCACCAACCAGTATATATATATACCATGATCATCCTATGTATATATCCCATTTATAGGTGGTAAACATCCCATTCTTTATAGAGGTTCGCAACCACCATCCTTTTGCTGCAGGATTTCGCAACCTCCCCAATGAGTTCCCCAGCTGGTGCTGGTGCTGGACTGTTGGCCGCATTCTGCGCCAGGCGCACCTGGACGTGTTCCAGTTGAAACTTGGGGAAACTATGGGAAAATATGGGGAAACTATGGGAAAATAGGGGGACACTGTCATATCCCAGTATATCACCATATCATGTTTCATCGAATTGCTGTTTCTATGAAGAGTTCTCACTTCCATTCAGCCCCATGCTTTTTCTGATTGGTATCCCCATCATTTCCGGGAATCACGGCAATGGAATCATGTAAAATCTACCCTCTGCTAATTTTACATAGCTGTTGAACATGGCCATAGAAATAGTGGATTTACCATTAAAAATGGTGGATCTTTCCATAGTTTTTGGTAGGTTTACCGGAGGGTACCATTGGCAGTTTGATGCTTTTCACCAGACACCTCCTGGTTGGTAGTTTCAACCCCTCTGAAAAATATTAGTCCGTTGGGATTATTATTCCCAATATATGGAAAAATAAAAAATGTTCCAAACCACCAACCAGCCTCCATATTTTTCATGGGGGTTTTGCAACGCCCCTGTCGGATACACCGCACCATCTGCCAGAGGCTGTGATTCTCCTTGGCCATGCCATCGATTAAGGCGTCGAGGTGCACCTTGGTGAGTTATGGTAGATTTACAGATGGATTATACAATGCCCCCAAACGATAGCGTTCAGTTGGTGCCAATAACTCCAATAACTATGGTTTATGATACGCAAATAACTAGCTATATATGGATTACCCTCTGGTAATTTGTCAAAATAGCTATTGAAAGTGGCCCAGTCGAAATAGTGGATTTACCCAGCTAGAAAATGGTGGATCTTTCCATAGTTATGTGGCTGTTTACCAGAGGGTATATGAACATATAAAGTGGCCCTCCAGTTTAACGACCTGGTGTCAAATATTGGTGTCATCAAATTTGGAAAATCTTAAAGTTGGAGGCTTCGAATTGGGTCATCTATGAACTGGATCCATCGCCATGACTTGTAAATGGGTGGTTTTTGCACCATTCAAAAAAAGGCACAAAAAAAGGCTACTGGAAAAAAGGGGTTAGACATGGCCAATCCACAATCAACCCATTTGGGTTGATCGCATCCGTTCATATTCAACTGGTCACAGTCGTAAGTTCATCCCCTACTTTTTACCATGTTTGATATTGGAGTGGCTAATATGAAGACTGACCATCAGTTGAAGCCGTTTAACCATCATACCAATGGTTCAATCAAGCTCTATTAACCATTCTTAACCATTATCAACCATTCTTAACCATTCTTAACCACTATTAAGCCCTATTGATCCCTATTAATCCCTATTAACCATGGTTTTTTCCCAACATCTTTCCCCTTTCCGAAGTTTCCTCCACAACGAAACCCGGGCACGTCCCCCAAGCTCTCCAAGGAGTCGTGGATGATGTCCATCAACTCATGAATCCTGGTGCTGTGGGTAACCAACGTAACGAGATGTAGCTTGATATAGACTACCACGAACCATCCATTTAGGAATGGTTTATACCATGTGGGGGCCCCCCTAGATAGCTAAGTTGGTTTATAAATCCCATGAATACTATAGAATGAGGGTAAAACAATGTCATAAACCATCCATTTAGGAATGGTTTATACCACTTTAATAGGTAAATCAACGAACTTTCTATGTGCCATTTTCAATAGCTATGTGAAATTACCAGAGGGTAATGTCCATCTGGGGGTTTCCACAAATGGGGGTAACCCCCCAATTGATGGTTTATAAGGGAAAATCCATCTATAAATGGATGATTTGGGGGTACCCCCATTTTAGGAAACCTCCATATCTATGATCTGAGTAACCAAAGATATATATCTATAATGATAAATGTGGTTATAGATGTGGTTTTGGATATAACTACATTAGCTAACTGTATCCATGGGCTACTGTATGTAGTTTGATATATCGTTAGTGGCTATAGATTTCTGTATAGATATAGTTGCCAAACATGATATCGATAGGTTTATGGCAACCCCAAGTCATAGATGCCGAAAAGTGGGAAACCTGGAAGATGGTGATTTTCCATAGTTTTTTGTATGTTTACCAGAGGGCAACATCCTGGTGGCACACTGACTTTTCGCGATCTTTTTGGGGCTTGCTTTTTGTTTGTTATCCCCAGATGGAACAGATTGGAGAAGTAAATCATCGTAAAGATCTATTGGGTATCTACTTTTACTAGGGGTATTGGTTTGATATAGATAGATATAGTTACTAGGGGTATTGGTATTGTTTAGATAGATTGCTTTCTTTTCTATCTTTTTGGCACGCTATGTATTGGTTTTACATAGATAGATATAGACATAGCGGGAATTGGGGATATATATATATATACGTATATATATATATATACGTATATATATATAACCACGAAGTTTCTTCTCTAAGCACAATGGGTCACAAAAAACCACAATGGGATTGCAGTACGAATTTGTCTCGGTGGGAAAGTCAACCTCTACCCCCTAAAAAAGATTCAAATAAGCTTTACTCTCTGGTAAACTAACAGAGCTATGGAAAATCACCATTTTTATATAATGGGTAAATCCACTATAAATGGCCATTTTCAATAGCTATGTTAGTTTACCAGAGGGTACTTTTCTATCTGAAAGGATTGAAGTTCTAAATTTCAACTGCAACTTTTGATAGGGGGTTTGCGAAAAAGATGGGGAATTCTTGATGGGACATGTGAGGAAAGTTTCATGGATGGATCCTACTTGATAGAAAACTCAGATGTGGATGCTCCTGTTCCCAGAATTAAGTTGTTTCATGGCTATGGAAGCCATGCCGCATGTTTAGATAAATTGCCCATCAGAAATGGCAATTTTCCATAGCTATGTGAAATTGCCAGAAGCTTATTTTATCTCCTTAACTAGAATTCAACTGACACTAAGTGTGGACGTACCCAGGTAATGGGATTAAACCAATCACTGCTTTCTGGTGGGATTGGTGGGCAAAACCTACAGGAAACCCATAGCTTTTACCAGTGAATCCTGGTTCGGTGATGGAAGGCTTGCGATGATTTTACATTTTTGTCGGCATTTGCTGTTGTGATGATCTGATTGAAGTAACCTTTTCTTTCCAACACGTCAGGGGTTTGTGTCTCCATATTTTTTGAAGTTACGATCTCCCCCCAATTTTTCCATTGTGATAGGTCACAACCAGGATTATCACGTTTCAATAGTGACACCGAAAAAACATATTCACCACCCGCTGGCTCTGGTTGCAGGACATTACCATCATGTATCCTCCGGTAATCAAACGTGGCACTGGGACACTCCTCCATTTACACATGATTTTCCCATCGAAACGTCCATCTATATAAGATTTTGCATTGCCATGTTTGATGACACCGGAGGGTCGTTGAACCGGAATCGGGCCATTTTCGGTGGATTCCCCCTACTATGGCGAGTGAGGTCGCAAACAAATCGTCTAAATATATGGTTCTATCACGCTAAATGTCCATTTTACAGGTGATGTCCATCCATGTTTTCCCTATCTCAAGTCATAATGTACATCCCTAAGTTGTCCATAAAAAACATCCATAGTTTCTATAGAGCATATGTACCAGGGTCATGGTATAGGTATTAAGTCGTTTCATGGAAGAATGGATCAACTGATAAGAAGAGTCGGAGTTGGTTCCAAAATTCCAGCCAAATATATCTCCATGAATAACTGGTTGGTGGTATACCAACCCCTCTGAAAAATATGAAAGTCCGTTGGGATTATTATTCCCAATATATGGGAAAAAAAGCAAAAATGTTCCAAACCACCAACCAGCCTCCATTAACCAGTATTTGCCACTATTAACCATCATTAACCATGGTAATCACCCAGTTTCCCATCATTTTCCAAAGCACCAAACCACCAACCAGATAATGATGTCAACCCTGGATGAATCGCCTGCAAACGGCTCTTGATATCATTTTCTTGGGCGACGATTTTTTCAGTGTCAGATGATATGACTATCGGGGGAGTAACCCTCGAAGTAAACAAAAACACATGGGTTTACTAATGCCGGGTTGACGTTAATCAACATTATTGGTGATTTTTCTGAGCCTTTTTTTGCACCTCATTCGTATCCCACTAATATCCATGAATAGCCCAAAATTCACGAATACCCCAGGAATATATCCTACCTCATTCAAACATTGATATGAGTGGCTTGTTAATTGATATTCTGGGGTGGGCTTATTCATATATCCCCACAAACATATCCATTAATAGCCCATTATTAATATGCTTATTCATATCCCACTAATATCCATGAATAATCCCCATTAATATATCCCCAGTATTCTATGAAGTCCTCATTTTTTGCATGGTTCCCACTTTTCTAAACCGACCCCCTAAAAACGGACGAGGGCTCCTGAGGCAGCTTGAGGCACGTTGCCGTAACAACTCCTCGCCAGGAAGGTTGAAAAGTTTCGACTGTGACGGCGCTTTCTTTTTGGGGTTCATAAATGGTTCGTATATTCCAAGAATGAGTTTTGTTAAGGGTATTTAACATGATTGGCTAATAGATGATTGGAACTAGATGGAATTTAATAGATGTTTCTATTTATAGATTGTGATAATCGCTGGTTGGCAGAAATATATGTAATAGATGGATTGGGTGGATGTTGGAAATAAATACTTTGAACATTGTATCCAGCTTTGTCAATAAGAGATGATTCCGATTAAATGTTAATACGAAATGGTGAGTATAGTATTATTAAATATTCAATATTGAATCATTAATGATCTAAATTGATAAATATCAATATTATCTTCTATCATCTATCATTAATCAATGATTCAATATAGATGGTTAATGATAGATGGTTGGTGAAATGAAAAAAATGGCGAATCTTTGGCGCATCTTCACCAACAAGATCTGGTGAGAAGAATGTTCGGGATCGAAGTGGGAAAAACGAGGCTTCCACGATTAACTACCCTCTGGTAAACATACAAAAAGCTATTGAACATGGCCATAGAAATAGTGAGTTTTCCCATGAAAAATGGTGGATCTTTCCATAGTTATGTTAGTTTACCAGAGGGTAATTGGTGGTTTTAACCATCTTGAAAAATATGAGTCAATGGGAAGGATTATCCCATATATTATGGAAAATAAAAAATGTTCCAAACCACCAACCAGAAGATTAAGATGTGGATTGGAAAATCTGAGGCAAGGCTTTGGATTTAAGTAATTTATTAACCAGCGGTTTGCCAGGAAACCGTGGTATTTCATCAACTAACATTGTTTTTTTAGTTCATGAAAATGGAGCTGGAGAAAATCATTTGCCATTCATCGAGATTCAGTGAACCCAATCTTGATGAACAATGGGGATCATTGTGCTTGTCGAATTCATTGTTTTGTCCTTTTCTGGTTTCAACCCCTCTGAAAGATATTAGTCATATTATTGCCAATACATGGAAAAATCAAAAAATGATCCAAACCACCAACCAGATATATTTCTGGGAATTTATCCCCCCGTTTTCTTGGTTCGTTCTTCCCACGTTGATCGCCTAACTCGTTGCCGGCCCCACGTTCCTCGCGTTGATCGGCGGCATCGGTAAGGCAGGCGATGAGCCTCAACGAAGCCATCAGATTTCACCTGGAAAATCCGGGTCTTTTTTTAAGCATAAAATTGATTATCTATAGTGGATAATCCATGGGATTCCTGGGATATCATATGGATATATCATGGAGATATCCAGTGAAATATATACCCTCTGGTAATTTGTTACATGGCTATTGAAGCCATGGCCCATAGAAAGTTCCGTTGATGATTTACCCATGAAAATAGCATGGTGGATCTTTCCAGTGAGCTCTATGTGGCGTTAGTTTACCAGGTAATATGTCTAACATTTCTGCTTCAATATTGATGATCAACCATCATTAAGACTCCCTTTTAACCATGGAATATTGGGGTTAAAAAATGTGGATCTGCATTATTAATGAGGGATAGAGCTGTGGCATAGCTGGTCATTTAGCAAAACAAGGGATCGAACCTCCAGAGGCAGCTGGCCATGGTTCCATGGTACCCGGAACTGCTGGGGTATATGGATGTATATGATGTATATATATATATACATATACTGGTTGGTGGTTTCAACCATCTTGAAAAATATGAGTCAATGGGAAGGATTACATCCCATGATTAATCCCATATATGAAATGGAAAATAAAATTCATGTTCCAAACCACCAACCAATATATATATATATATATATATGTATGTATGTATATATGTATTATATACACATGGTAAAGTGGTATTTCCAACAATCATGGGGATCAGCGGCAAACAAAAGGTGGATCAGTGGGGAATGACAGTCTCCAAAAGTATCCCATGGCATTCCTCAAGGTTGGCTTCATATGTCTATTCTCGTTGGTGATCATCACCATTCATCCTACTTTTTTTGCAAAACTGCTGAACCCACGATATCCAGTCATATCACGCATTCTTGGGATTTGGCTGAAATATGGTGATTGTATGGATGGTGTATGTCAAGCATCATTGTTGACCAACAAAAAGGGGTGGTTCTGAACCCATTATATCACGTTGATGCAAATTGGTGGTTATAAACCCACTATACTCTCTATTTGTCATGGTTTCGTCAACCCCACATTTTCGTTCGTTCCCATAGCCTCTGGTAATTTGTTACATAGCTATGGAACAATCAGCATGTTAAATAGCTGCATCATCGACCTCGATGCGCCCTTTCTATAGCAAAGTCTTACCGAAAGCTATGGGCCATCCATTCTTCAGCGGTAGATTTCACGAAAATCCGTGAGACCAATTTTTCGCAGCGTCGTCCCTTTATCGATGATCCCCAAGATACATCAATATGGGGGTTTCCTAAAATACCCCCAGTTCTCATCCGATTATAGATGGAATTTCCCTATCAAAAACCATCCGGCGAGCATGGGGTACCCCCAAAAAAAGGAAACCTTCATATACATCAATATACTGATTAGTATACCATCTGGTTATTTAACATAGCCATGGAAAATCCCAACCATAAATGGAGGTTTATAGCTGGGAAAATCATCTATTTCTATGGGCCATCTATACCATGGCGAACTGTTAAATAACCAGAGGGTAAATTGTCTAAAGATTGAGGAATTCCAATGATCATCTATACCCTCTGGTAAACATACAAAAAGCTATTGAAAATGGCCATTTACAGTGGATTTACCCATTAAAGATGGTAATCCCCGAACTAATCATCAGCCAATGAGTTATTTTTTTGGACGTATCACCTCAGCACGGCGAACAAGGCACTGCTTGGTTTGCACTTTACTGGTTGCCAAGGCAGCCGCCTTCCGTGGGGTACCATGAAACCGTGGGTTTTTTTGGTTTTTTTCACCTCGAAGGATTGACGGTTTTTGAGCGTGAAAAATGGCGTTGAAACTACCAGAAATAGACACCATTTACGGGAAACCGTGGGGTTTTTTCAGCAAAATGATCAGGTAAGACCTGCAGTTTTTCCTAATTCTAACAGTCCGGTTGATGTGTGGCTGATAAAACCATAGGTTACTGGAGGTTTACCCAACCAAATGAGGAGATAACTGACAAACACTGGTTGATGATTAGAAATGTAATCTTGCCATTAGAACAAATCCGCTCAAAAAACATGAACACATCTGGAAATGATGGATCTTCATACACTAATTATTTTTTTTTAAAGACGATACCTTTTCACTGAATACAGGTGATTTTTTCCAACGGACCAAAACAGTGATCAACAAGGATGGTTTTATACAAAGAATTCAAAGAACCACAGATTTTGTGGTATGGGCATATAGAGACGTTATCATACGTTTGTATGCACTTCGTTTTATATGATACATATATATATACTGTATATACATATGTATATATATATATGTATATGATATATATATATATTATTTATATGTAGATTATGTCGTAGTTCTATGATATGTACATATGATTATATCTATATGGTCATATGCCATTGGAATTGGGGCATCATCCCACGGATCCAAAGTGATAACCATAGCGTCCTGGCTCGGGTGACGTTCACCATGGCTTTTTGCGTCTGAAAACATGTGGAATTTATGGAATAACCATGGTTTATTCATGGTGAAACCGTCAATATTTCATAAATCATAAAAATCCCTGATTTCTCGAGGGTCAAATGGTTGAACTATCTTTGATACCATTATCCAATCCCATTACCCTCTGGTTATTTAACATAGCCATGGGAAATGGCCCATAGAAATAGATGGTTTACCGTTCTTAAAAATGGTGGATCATTCCATGGCTATGTCAGTCATAACCAAGATGGTAACCATTGCTAAGCCAATATTCAGATAATGGTTAATGGGATTAGATAGTGCCAATTTAAGCATTATCCAATTACTATGGTTATCCAATCCCAATATTCACCATTACTATCTGCCATAATTGGGCACCTGCTCCCGGTAGTTTTGCACTTCGTTCAGCACCCCGTTCAGTGCCGCTTCGTAGTTCGTGATCCTGGACGAAAGCACCTGCGGGAGGCACCGTGAAATTCCCAGAAGATATTTTTGAATACCAGAGGGTATCCCATCCCATTAATTGTTGGTTATATATGGTTATATTACCCTCTGGTAAACTAACATAGCTATGGAAATCACCATCTTTAATAGGGAAATCAACGAACTAAATGTGCCAATAGCAAACTGTTAAATTACAGAGGGTAAATATGGGGATATCATCGAAATATCAGAGGTTCTGGCTTGTCCCCGATGATCTTCACCGAAATCAGCATCAACTGGGCCCAACAATTGGCATTGCCGCAGTGGTGTGTTAGATCCCAGCCAATCTTGTTGTCAGAATCTCCAGATTGAATATGCAGAATCCGGAATTGAAAAAACGTAAGACGAAGATTTGGGAGTTCATCAGTTCATCTGCAACTATCTCCATGTCTGATGTTTAAAATAACCCTTGACTCTTATTTGGCGGGGTTGCCCCCAAAATAGTTTTTGAAATTACGCAAGAATGGTACCCACTGATTTTTAGCAGTTGGCGGTCAACACTAATCAATACTCTTGGTTGTTAATTAATATTAATACCATTGATATATCCCACTAAATTAATATACCCCATTAATAAGAATATCCCATTAATACCATTGATATATCCCATTGATGTTAATATATATTGATATACCCCATGAATATCCCACTAAGATCCTTTCATATCTCATCAGTATCGCACTATTTTTTCCATTATCTAACTGTTATATCCCAATAGTATCCACTCATATCCGCTACCCCATTAATATCCATCAATATCCATTAGTATCCCATTAAGTCCCATGAAAATCCCATGAAAATCCCATTAAGTCCTTCCTAAATCGCACGAAATTCCACTCAGTTTCCACCAATGTCCCAGTAGTACACCCATGTTATAATACCATGATAGTTAAGATGGTAACAAACGTAGATTAGTGCCTAATATGAATAACCATGCCGTTTTTTGTTGCTTAACCTACCAATATCATATTATAATATCTATGATTCGTATGATATTAAATCCATGATTGCTATGCAACCAATCATGGATATTCATGTGATAATCTGGTTGGTGGTTTCAACCCCTTTGAAAAATATGAGTTCGTCAGTTGGGATGATGAAATTCCCAATATGTGGAAAGCCATAAAATTCATGTTCCAAACCACCAACCAGTATATACACCATGAATATCACCATTTTTAATGGGTACATCCACTATTTCTATGGCCATTTTCAATCGCTTTTTGTTTGTTTACCATAGCATCCCCAAATTTGGTGAATAGCACCAAGGACCACTGGACGCCTCGTTGTCGTGAATCAGCGCGCTCAGCGCGCTCAAGGCCAGATCCAGGTCGGCCTGGTGTCGAAGATCCAGTGGAAAATCGTGGAGAAACTATGGGAAAATGGTGAATTAACCATAATTGACCCAGAAAAATGGGAGTTTTGTGAGATTTTACCAGGATTTTAATGGGATTTAGTAGCATATTGGGATGAAATCTACGATTTTTGTCGGAGGTAAAAAAAAACACCCCCATGAACTCTGCCAGCTTTGTGATGGGGGGCAGATCTTTTTCCGGTAGATGGGATGTTTTGGTTTATGGGTACAATGTGGGGCCCCCCAGTGATGTGAACGTTGGTTTATAAATCCCATGAATACTAGTTCGTTATTTGCGTATCATAAACCATAGTGACATTGGAGTTATTTGCACCAACTTACCCTCTGGTAATTTAACGTAGCTATAGAAAATGGCCATTTATAGTTGATTTACCCATTGAAAATGGTGATTTTCCATAGCTATGTTAGTTTACCAGAGGATAGCTATCGAACGGGGGCCCCACATTGTATTCATTCAATAGGAATCCTGATTGTTCTGTGATGACCATCCCTGATTGTGACTTTGTTGTCTAACAAAAAGCGGTGCATCACTTAGGGATTTCCTAAATCATATTCTATGGAATATCAGAAGGATATAGGATATATGATTGGGAATATACTCTATATATAATATTTGAAATATGTAACAGAATAGAATATAATATGGAATATCCACTATTATATCATTGGAATATAGTAGAATATCATGAGATATCATGGGATACCATGGGAATATACCGTCTGGTAGTTGAACATAACCATGGAAAATTAGCAATTTTTAGATGCTTCACCCATTAAAGATTGCTAGTTTCGACGGCTATGCTGGATTACCATAAGTGGTATCAGAAAAAAGGGGTGACATTGTGTTGAACAGTTGACCAGGCTGTCTTTCGCAATACGAAGAATCTTTTTGCCACTTGCAACAGACCCTTTTGTACCCGTTGTGTTTACTCTCTGGTAATTTAACATAGCTATTGAAAATGGTCATTTATAGTTGATTTTCCCATTAAAAATTGTGATTTTCCATAGTTTTTTGTATGTTTACCAGAGGGTACCCAGACTTTCATTTCTACCCGCAGTCCGCAGCAACGTAGCTCCGACAATCCCGAATGAACGTTAATTCATGTGGGCTGTCGATCAATCAGCTTTTAAATCTGGGGTTGGCATGACCACTGGGTGCACCAAAATTGACCTTGATACTTGAGTTATCACCTTTTTTTTTGGCAGCTTAGAAACAAAAATCCACCAACGGTGTGGCAACGGAATGGTTCCCCATTTATGGAGTGTTTGCCAATAATGCGTTCTCAAATATTCTCAGTTTTTAGACAGTTTCTTCAATAACACATAAAGCATGTCCCTCTATTTTCCATTCTGCTATTCCATGCTATTCCTATATTTCAACAAAAAACAAGCAATCCTCAATTTTACAGATGTTTTTGGTATAATTTGGGAATAGTTTATACGACCTATTTATGGTGATTTGGGGGATAGTTTATTGTTTTACCCACATTGTTTTCAGTGTCCTTTTATCAAAAACTTGCTGTTGCAAACTTGGAAACTTGACACCCGAAGATGACTTAACCTCATTGAATCATTCTTTTCCCTTTGCCCTATATCCCTATAAAGTTTCAAAAAACATGAACTTTCAGAAACTTTCCTACTGAATCCCTATGAACCATTTTCCTGAATCACGGTTTTCCCTGCCCCAAAAGGTTAGCCATGGCCACAGGGACTTCCAGTCTGTGCCGCGCCTGCGAAATTTGGGAGTTTTGAGAGGTGGGGCTCTCCTGAGGCAGTCTGCACATGACTTCATCCTTTCACAGCACCTTCCAAGGCCTTTCTGATCCAAGGAGATCCGAGAAGCATTCCGAAAGATACCTACCAAAAAAAAATATACACATAAATAAATAACATAAATACATAAATAAATAAATATATATATATATATGTTTACAACCCGACATCCCAAAAAATCAAAACCGCACTTAGCCACACTGACCTTCAGGCGCCTATCACCATCTTTCAAGTAGACTGCCTGCATAGAATAGGTCTACTCAATAGTACATGTACTGATTGGTGGTATACCTACTCCTCTGAAACATATGAGTTCGTCAATGGGAATGATGACATCCCATATATTGTGGAAAATAAAAAATGTTCCAAACCACCAACCAGGTGTAAGTATAAAAGTAAAGAATTACACAGTCTACACATCGGAGATACACTACATTGACTACATGCACACACTTGCGCGGAAATATCAACCATACACATGGATGGAGAACACATATACAATACATAGATATTACACATCAATACACATCAATATACCCTCTGGTAAACAGCCACATAACTATGGAAAGATCCACCATTTTTAATGGGAATTCATCAACTACTTCTATGGCCATTTTCAATAGCTATTTTGACATAACCAGAGGGTATCTGTCGAAAAAATTAGAAAACGCATCATTCCAAGAATTTGTTAATAGATAATACACATGGATAATGCACATTTTCTATCATGGATGGGAATGATGGGAATACACATCAATACAATGTGGTGCCCCTCAGTTATACGTTGGTTTATAATCCCATTAACTATACTTATAAGTACCATAAACCATAGTTATTGGAGTTATAAACCAACTTAGCTAACTATGGGGCACCATCTTGTAGATTATTATTAATCATCATTAACCATATATTAACCATATAGTAACCATATATTAACCATATATTAACCATATAGTAACCATTATTGTTTGATAACCACATATATATATATATCACCACATCTATATAATTCCATACCCACATCAATACATCTGTAAAAAAATAGAAAACACCAAAAAAATCCCATCATTCCAAGGGCGCCTCTCGAAGTGGCGGAGGCTCCCAGGTCACACGACCAGTCGCCTGGTGATGGAAGTGATAGCTCGACCAGTGTTTTCCAGAAAGTTCAAGTGTTCTATCATGATGAAAAATGAAAATGATGGAAAATGATGAAAAATGATGGAAAATGATGGAACATGATGAAAAATGATGAAAAATGATGAAAAATGATGGAAAAATGATGAAAAATGATGAAAAATGATGAAAAATGATGGAAAAATGATGAAAAATGATGAAAAATGATGGAAACATGATGAAACATGATGAAAATTATGAAATCTATTGAAATCTCAATTGTATAGATGATGAACATTCAACTGGTCTATCTATTTTGCGACTTGCGATGCTATATATAATTATATACATGCACTTTAACTATGGGATTATCACCTTTTCAGGGACTTACTAACCAGGGCTCGAGTTACCATTCAGTAAACCAACAGAGCCACGGATGTGTTTGATGGGTAAATCATCTACTTGTGTGGCTTGCCAGAGGGTATACCCTTTCTGAATGTTGGTTCATGCTAGTTTGATAAACCAATTGGAGCTATCCAATGATGACCAATTGGGATATATCAATATATGACCATGATAACCATAGGAAAATTATATTCATATATAATTGATAAACCAACTGGGATTCTTTATATGGAGCTATCCAATGATGACGCGGGGATACCTTTTCGGAAAATGGAGATATCAACTGAGATCTATCCAGCCATTCTTTGGGAAGATCGTGGTGGAATGATTCATACACAATTATTTGTGGGACACATTTGAAATACCCTCTGGTTATGTCAACAGTTTGCTATTGAAAATGGTGATTTATAGTGGATTTTCCCATAAAAAATGGTGGATCTTTCCATAGTTGTGTGGCTGTTTACCAGGTCGGGTACTTTGAACAACGAGTACCCGATGCTTGCCTTTCTAGCGATATTTAATTGGACTCCACATCGCGGTGTCTGCACCGGTGAACCGCTGAACCGCTTGGGTTCAAGGTTTTCATGGGACAACCGAAAACGACAACACAACTGGAGTTTCTCTAAAAATAGGCTACCCCAACAAGACTTATAGTTTGTGATCGTCTTTCCAAACTTGATCCAACCCTTTTTTGGGGGTTTTTAGCCACCGTTTTTCGACACAAAAAATCGTTGATTTACAGCAGTGATCAGCACCATCCATCCCATTGCCCAACAGTTAAACCGAAATATCCATTCGCCTCAATGCCAAACAAAAAGTCACTTACTTGGTGATGCTGATGGTTCGTCACAAAAAAAAACTAGTACAGTTAGATAAATGACTCAACAAATGACTATAGAGTTTTTTGGGTTTTTTACTGCCAAAATGGGGGGTTGAAGTCACCCCACTTCCGAAAAAAAAGGCGGCCTCGACCTCCTGCGCCCTCGCCATTTTCAGCAGTGAAACGTGGGTCACCGTCTGGCGCTGTAACTGGAAAAACCATGACGCTACCCTCTGGTAAACATACAGAAAACGAACTGGAAAGATCCACCATGCCATCTCGCTGGGTAAATCCACGAAGTAAATCAAGCATTTTCAACAGCTATGTTACGAGTAGTTTACCATAGAAATCATGATCAACCATAGAAAATCCATAGAAAATCCATGATCAACCATCATGATCAACCATTTTCATGTGGGCTGATGTTAGTTTACCAGAGGGTAACAATAATACGCACCGATGACCTTAATGATGACCATTATTTTGATGGTCAGACCAGCCAAAGGGCGAGAAGATGGCGGCATTGGCCTGGGAACAGCGAGGGAACATCGACCGACTGATGTCACTGTATGCCAGTCATCTATCTATATATATATCTATGTATATATATAGACACTGCATGTACATATTATATATATAATATACCATATGCAATATGTGATGTACTTTTTGAGTACATGTGATATACATGATACATGACAGAATATTGTTATATAGTGTTACATACATAATATTGATTAATATTGTATTATATGTAATTAATACACCCATCATATAGTTTCAATGGTAGTTTCTTCACCAGCTGCGAATGTGATGTCTGATTCTTTTTGTAGCATACAGTATCAAAGAATCTACCCTCTGGTTATTTAACATAGCCATGGAAAATGGCCCATTTATAGATGATTTTCCCATTGATACCTCCATTTATGGTTGGGATTTTCCATGGCTATGTTAGTCATAACCAGAGGGTAAGTTCCAAATCTCTCATTCACATTGTTCACATCAAGCATTCCAGAGCTCCATAAAAAATGGATCCCAACCTGGGAACACAACTGATATTTTTCCCCTCCGGTGTCATCAAACATGGCAACTGGAAATCCGCCAAAAAAATGGAGCTTTGAATGGGACAATTCACTATAAATAAAGGTGATTTTCCTGCAGTTGCCACGTTTGATTTTCCACCGGAGAGTGTTTCCACCCAAAGAATTGGACATTGTTGTCTGGTTGGTGGTTGAAAAACCATCTTGAAAAATGATGGAGTGAAAGTCAGTTGGGATGATGACATTCCCAACCGAATGGAAAGTCATAAAATTCCATGGTTCCAAACCACCAATCAGATATGTATATATATACATATATATATATATGGGTTATATATATATAGGTTATATATATATATATATATGGTTTTTATATATATATATATATATGGGTTCCAAACCACCAACCAGTTGTGGGTGCCCTCGGTACTTCAAACTCCCAAAGGGCGCCGGGTCAGCTGCCGAGAGGCCCCCAGGGGGTTGGAGCGACCTTTCTGTTTGCCCAGATTCGCCATGTTGGTCATGTGCCTCGGGTCATCACCCAAAAAACGAAATTTGCGCGTCATCCCATATGGAGACATGAAATTCTTGATGTTTCCCGGACAGAATTTACAGGAATCCCTGAAAAATCGGAGTTTCTGTCCAACATTGTCCAACAAATTCAACAGTTCCTCTATTCAACAGCGGCCATTTTCCACCCCCCACCCGCCCCGGCACTCCATCTCCCGTCCCAGATGCAGGAACTCGCGGAAGTCGATGGCGCCGCTGCCGTCCTTGTCCAACTGTTCGAAGATCTTCCGTAACTCCTCGAAGGACAGGCCTAGGTGGAGCCGGGGCGCCCTTTTTAGATGGCAAATCAATGGTGTAATATTATCTGATGTTAATCATTATAGTAACCATGTATTAATATAACACTATTATGGTTAATAGTGATGTATATGATATATATATATATAGATATAGATATATACTGGTGAACTGGAAAATGGCCCAGTCGAACTAGTGGATTTACCCATGAAAAATGGTGGATCTTTCCTTAGTTTTCTGTATGTTTACCAGAGGGTATCAATAATATGTGATTATCTGGTTGGTGGTTGAAAAACACTTGAAAAATGATGGAGTTCGTCAATGGGAAGGATGACATCCCATATATTATGGAAAAAATGTTTGAAACCACCAACCAGATTTCTTCGACTAACCAGTAATCAAATGGTAAATAAGAAGAACAATAATCATGGATATATGAAGTACATATATATATATATGCCATGGCCATGGGTGGTGAGTTGTGGATGGTTAGGCCATGGTTTGATTTGATGTGTCAATGATGTTTGGTCTTATTTTTAGTTGGATGATTTGGCGCATCCAGTCATAGAACAGTCATCTTTGATACATATGATGTATATGTATGTATATATATATATATTTATTAAATTGAGTTTTTGTGATTTAAGTGAGTATCCGAATGATGACCCATTTCATCGGAATGATGGGTAAGTATTTACAAACTGCACGCACATATGATTTGACATATGTAAATCCAGTATGTATAGGTGTAAGTCGAGATGATACCCTTTAGCAATACACTGAACAACAAAAAATCATGATTCCAATCATAGAGATAACGAACGCTAATCATTGTGACTTAAAGGTTTGCGCCCAAAAATAACATCATTTACTACAGTATATTCCCATCAACAACCAACCATGTTTACCCTCTGGCAAGTTTACGGTTTGCTATGGAAAATGGTTACCTGTAAAAAAGTGCTTTCCCATGTCTATGTGAAAAATTACCGGAGGTTTTTTTTTTGTATCATCATTTGCAGACTCAAATACAGATTTTATACAGTATACCATCAGAATCTTTATTTGGGACTTGGGTCCCAGGGTCAAAACCCACTACCCTCTGGTAGACTAACATAGCTATGGAAAATCACAATTTTTAATGGGAAAACTCACTATAAATGGCCATTTTCAATAGCTATGTTAGTTCAGAGGATATGGGTCAAAACCCACTATTGCTGAACACAATTTTTTCGCTGGCCAATGCTGGTGCCCACCCCCAAAAGATGGCATAGATGGCATAGTAAACGTTCCGGTTTAACATGAAGAATTTTTCACCCCAAACAATCAAACATGGCAACACAAAATCATGTTTCACATCCCACATTGATGAACAAATCCCATATTTTCTGGTTGGAGGTATACCTACCCCTCTGAAAAATATGAGCTCGTCAGTTGGGGTTACTATTCCCAAACTAGGGAAAATCATAAAAGTCCATGGTTCCAAACCACCAGATAATTTTTTTCGCTAACCTGGAATAAGTTGGGCCATAAAAGGGGATGATTCCCCTAAAATAAACCCATGATTTCCAGATTGATGATCAAATCCCATATTTTAATGGCCTTCTTGGGGATGTCCCATCCGATCCACCGGAGAATCTCCGATTTTTGGTGGGGACATCATCTGAAAAACAACAAAAAACGCGTAGGTATCCAATACGAATCTCCCATGAATATTCTATGATTTGCCTGGGTAAATTTTCCAATATATATATAATATATCCTATGATGATTCTATTCTTCTTAGGTAAATATGAACAATGATTGTCCCATTATTGTACCACTATCATCCAAGTATTATCCCATTGGTGTACTATGAAAAAAACCCAGCATCAAAAACCATCCTTTCTGAATATCCCATCATATCTGAGACCCGAAATCCGGAAAGGAGTTGAGTCAACAGCAGGAATAATACTCTCTGGTAAACATACAAAAAGCTATTGAAAATGGCCATTTATAGTGAGTTTTCCCATTAAAAATTGTGATTTTCAATAGCTATGTTAGTTTACCAGAGGGTAATACCATAAAAGGGGGAACACAAAAGACTGCTCTCTTGCTCCACGGACGACATATCCCATCATTCTATATCATTCTTATGTCTCTAGTGGCAAACATTACAAAATTCCCCAAAGCCAGATGCAAGGCCATGTTGGGGTTGAGTTCCCGATCGCTATAATTTACCCCAGATTGTTTCCTATATGGCTACGGCTCAAGATTTGATAAGTATGATTTTTGGTGGGGATAAAAATCTATAAATCATCTATAAATCATCTATAAATCATCTATAAATCATCTATAAATCATCTACAAATCATCTACAAATCATCTATAACTCCCAGCAATTTGGATGCGAACCGCTTAGAAAATCCATGGCTTTACCCTTGGAGCGCTTTTTTAAAAACGCAACGCCGGCCGAGGGTCTCTTCTGCCCCAGCAGGCCGCAGGCCCGTTTCACACCCAGCAGATCCAGTTCGCCGCTGCCGGTGTTGTCGATGATGTCGAAGATCACGCGGAACTCGTCGACCATGCCTTGGGTTACCATGATCTGGGTGAAAAATGGAGCTTTCAGAAGAGGGTTACCATGATGATCCAGATATATCCGGCTGATATATGGTTATGTATATATATATATATGTGTATATATATATATATATGCCATTGGTATAAGGGGGAGGTATAAGGATGGTAAACCATTGATCATGTTGTTGGCCATAATATTCCACATTAAACCGCCCATTAAACCACCAGCAGTCCCCCATGAATGGGATGTATCATTAATGTGTTATACCCGGATCATGGTATTTATGGGATTTGCTCTAATCAATGGTAATTTCAGGATCCTAAAATGGAGGTACTGTACCATGTAAGGCCATATTTTGCGGGGATATTCCCTTACATAGGCCTGAAACATAGGCCTTATATACTTATATATGGTAGGTACCTCCAATCAATCGGTTCCTGAAATGACCATTAATCTAATGATCCACATGGGAGGGGATGATGAGGGGTCAATGAAGGAACTGGGCAGTTGGGAATTCCGCGCGATGGGGACATGTGTTTTTCTGGTGTTAATAGGACTTGGGTTGAATGGGAATATAGCGAGAATCCCCATATTTGATATGTCGGATTACCTGCTTTAGGCACGGGGAAGCAGTATCAAAGACGGGAATATAATAGGTGCAGAACTGCCTTTGGAATGGGGGAACACCTGCCAGTCACTAGAAGATATAAGCTAAAACGGCATAATGAATAAACAAAGAAATGATACATGGGTGAAAACAATGCTATTCGCAATCGCTGAAAATAACGGATGGGTAATTATCATATATATATATAATAAATAATTCATAGATAAGTTACCCATAAATAGGGTTACCCATAAATAAGTTATAGATACTCATATTCATGCTTTCCAACAAGTAAATGAATCAATTCTGCGTGACAAGTAGAGATACGTGTTGATCGGATCATGTGACTGGGTCGCTTCCAAAGGGCTGCTGCCAATGGGCAACCAGTGGGCTTAGTGCACTTAGATGTTATGGGTGAAAGAAATTATGGAATACTTGGAACATATGGAGGAATATCCATGGAATAAATGGAACATACTTACTGGTGCCTGGTGCGTGCTAAACGTAGGGAATGTATGGCTTGCTGGGGATTGTTGGGATGATCTGCTTGATACTTTTCCAGTGGATCATTCCCGAAAATTCCCTACGTAAAACGCACAAGTAAGATCTGGTTGGTGGTATACCTACCCCTCCGGAAAGTATTAGTCAGTTGGGATCATGACATTCCCAACTGAATGGAAAGTCATAAAATTCCATGGTTCCAGTCACTACCAACCAGAGATTAGTTGATGTCACGCGCATCATCCCAGTCATAAACCTCAAACTTGGGGATGGTGCAAACGGCATTGGCAAAATACCACTTTCATCCCACATGTTTTTTTAAAAGTGGAAATCCAGCATTAGCCATGTCTGTCCGCAAAAATCTCCGCGAAAATCCTTGTATGCTGATGATGCACTCTTAGCAGACTTTGACAACTACATTCACTTGGGCATTGCCTATGCCGATGATGCGAAAATCGAGGTGTCAGTCCTCAAAAATCTCCGAAAAAGTCTGACATCGAGCTCCGAGCTACGCTCCTGGAGTCCCAGTTCCACCCCATAGGCCCGGTCTTCGGCGCGCATGCACGTGGCTTGCCACTCCTTCACCTGAGCTGGATGGAGATAGCTCAATGTGATAGGTAACTAATGGATATGAATGGTTGTTATTTTCGAGTTAGTTGCTATTAATGGTTATTTGTTGTTATTAATGGCTATCAATTAATGGTAACTACAATGGCAGAAAGTAATGCTGGGGATAAGAAAGGTGGGAAATGCTTGGGACGGGGAAATCATTTGGGAAGCATAGAATATGATGGGAAATCATGGGAAATCTTCGGAAATGGCATGATGTCAAGGAATAGACCGTGGTGAAATTGTGTACCCTCTGGTGAACTAACATAGCAATGGAAAATCACCATTTTTCATGGGAAAATCCACTATAAATGGCCATTTTCCATTGCTATGTTAGTTCACCAGAGGGTAAACATTGATATTCCCATTGCACACTGCGATTCATATTATGAATACATCGTAGTCTCTTGATTTTTTCTAACAGACCAACAATGAAATTCTATGATAATAGTGTGACATAATGGAAAGTTTGGAGAATCCACTACAAAAGGAGAAATAATGCGTATACCCAATTTGGGGATATAATTGAAGATAAAATGGGAACAAATTGTGGGATAAACGTGTACTTGAATGATTTGAGTTTGGAATGAATATCTCAAAGTCAGAATGTCTTGCCGTCCTTATTGATCCAAAGTGCCAAAACCATTCACCATTTCCCAAGTCAGCCTTCAGAACTTACGTCAACTCCGAATCTACCATCTCAAATTAAGCTATTCAGTGATTTTTCGAATTAGTTCTACCGTTTTAGTCATCACTAATAACCACTAAGCCATGCCATAACGCCAATCTGTCATGAAAATCACCATCATCCTGGGCCATCGGCAGATCATCAACGACTATTATTGGCAGATCATCAAAATAAATCGATGGTAGATTGTAGCATCTGAGAAATCCAGATTGATTATGATTGATTACCTTTATCCAATATTATCATATATTATCCAATTAACATGACATAGTGACAGTGTGACATTTTAGATAAGAATCATTGCAATAAATTTTGGACATCCAAAAATATTTTACATATTTTACCATCAACATGTCACAGGTTTCCAGCTGACCTGGCGGATGAAGCGTACAAAGGCTTCAAAGTCCAACGTCAACGGCGTGAAGCCGAACTCATTGACCTCGTTCCTGGCGCGCCAGGGATCTGTGCCGAAAAAAAGCTCCTGTTTTAGAGCCCAAGGTCCCATCTTTTCCAATGATTAGTGATATTAAAAAAATAATTGATATTAGTGATAAATGATTATTATACCAGCTATTTTTTTTTATATCACTAATAGTACCAGCTAATTTTTAGGATCAAGTATTAGTGATAAATGATGATTTTTATAAGAAAAAACTTGGTATATGGGATATACCTTATATTTTTAGACCAATGATAAAATTGGGACCATTGAAATTTCATTTTAAAAAAACTTGGTATATGATTATGATATACCTGGTCAAAGATGATCTTCCTAATGTCCCTGTTTAAAAAATCTTAGACCATTTAAATGGGACATTACTGTGGTTTTCCCTCGGCGATCTTTCACGATATATGTTTGTTGAATCGAGTCCTGGACAACGAGTTGCTTATCCCACTATGAGCCCTAGGCGATTCGCCCATTCATCTTGTTTCTTTTTGATGCTTTGCGCCCTGTGTGTTGGTCAGATCGTTGTTGTTCTTGGCCAAAAAGCGCCTGAAAAATGCAGGTCGATTTGATTCATCGTTTCTTTAACGGTTAAGACGCGTTAATGTTTTCAACAGCCATCAACGTTCAACGTTCACGTGCACATCAACCTTCACGATTCACTATGTGAATCCTGATGTGGGGATGGGTCAAAACCCTGGTACCTAGTGAACCCCAAAATAGCTGGTAAATGGATGTTCATCCCACTAAAATGTATCTATAGATATTGACCCAAATTAAATATCTTGCGATTAAGATTAAGTAAATTATGGCACACGTTTTTTTGAATAGGCAAGTAACATGGACCTTTGCCATAAATACAATCAAACAGAGAGTTAACTGAGTCTATGCCAATATCATGATCCTTCCTCCAGGTGCCCTGCTGGAATGGCAATGGTTTGTCATTCACCACACCTGGGGATGTATAACCAAGATTGGGGGGTATTGCTATCAATATAATTTTTATTGTAATATGTGTATACATATGATATATATATTTATTTATTTATGTATATAGATATAGATATAGATGTATGAATATTGTTGCATATACATATAGACTAGGAGTTAATCTATCAATGGACCATCTCGCACCACATACATGCACATATAAATATATTCTACACATCCACACATTGCTGTATAGATCAACAATGAAACCAACTCAAACTTTTTTCAAACACGTCATCTCTGTGGTTTATCTCAATGAATTGGTTTATCTCAATTTTTTCCCATGAGATTCGAAAGGGGTTTCCTACAGAACTTATTTTCTGCCGCCAAGGGGCAGAAACTCCGTGATTTTCAGCTGATCTTCGCGCTGTTTGGGGCCCATGTGCAGGAGTTCTAAGGCCTGAACCCGCGACGATGGGCTTTCCACAGGATGTAAGCACTAAATGAAAAAACCAAACATGTGCTATCTAATCATAATACAATCACTCTACAAACATTCTACAATCACTATATATATATATGCACAATATATATATATACATTATCTATATATATATATATGCACTCTCTATATATATATATATTTATATATATATATGTGCACTATATAATCCGTATATTTGTTCATACTTCACAACATTGCACACTTTCTATGTTTTATGTACAGCCATTTATTGAGCACATATTATAGTGCCACATGTTCGGAAGAGTCTGATTGTTATCCAATAATACAAATACTTGGCATATGCCAGTGGTTTTTTTTCAGATAGAAATGGGGATTAAGCTTAAGATTACCAAAAATGGGGGAACTGGACCGAAAGTAAAGGTAGGCAGGCATGAATGTTTATATGTATATGAATATGTAAATGTATATATATGTATATGTAATGCATGTAATGCATGTAATGCATGTAATGGTTGTAATGTATGTAATGTATGTAATGTATGTAATGTATGTAATTTATGTAATGTCTGTAATGTCTGTAATGTCTGTCTTGTCTGTCTTGTCTGTCTTGTCTGTCTGTAAGCATGCATGTATGCATGCATGCATGCATGCATGGGTGCATGGATGCATCGATGCATGAATGCACGGATGCATGGATGTATCTATGTATCTATGTATCTATGTATCTATGTATCTATTTATATATGTATCTATGTATGTATGTACGTATGTACGTATGTAGGTATGTAGGTATGTAGGTATGTAGGTAGGTAGGTAGGTAGGTATGTATGTATTTATGTATCTATGTATGTATGTATGTATGTATGTATGTATGTATGTATGTATGTATGTACGTATCTATGTATGTATGTACGTATGTACGTATGTAGGTATGTACGTAGGTACGTGTGTATTCCCATATACTTAATCAACTTGTTGTTGCGTTTACACCAAAAACCAATATAAACTCACAGATAGCAAAAGAACGGATTATTATATCCGTGAGACCGTTGTAGCCAATATAGTCCTTCCAAATCCTATGTGGAATGCAATCTTATCCAAAAACACACACACACACTAGATGCCACAACAGATGGAAGATGGTTACATTGTTTCTGATGGGCTTTGATACCAGTAACTTGTTTGTTTTTGGATTTGTTGAGCGGAAATCCTATGGTCAACACATGCCTAGATGTTTTTTTTGGGGGCAATCCAATCCCGCAAGTACAATCCCAACATCACGCCCCCGGTACCGTCCGGTAAACGTTTACATAACTATGGAAAGATCAACCATTTTTCATGGGTAAATCCACTATTTCTATGGCCATTTTCAATAGCTTTTTCTGTTAGTTTACCAGGCCGGGTAATCAATATATATATATATACACATGCATACATACATTTCATCCACTCCCACACCAAATCCGCGGTCAGGCGTCTTGGCTCACTTCCGGCACACCCACGGCACTGATCACGGCGGTGCCAGCCTTCTTACGCCTCGGACGGAAGTTGTTTTTTTCCGGAGCGGTTTCTGGAACATGGAACCCATGGTTATTGGATATATTATTGTTATGATTATGGTTTATAATAGATTATATGGTTGATAGATAAATGATTTGATTATATACAATTGTTTTATATGAATGGGTTCTATGGTTATGATGATCAATTATTTTCCATAAATGGTTATAGATATGAATTATTCTATATGGAATTAATATGGAATTATATGATTATATATGGTGAATATATGGTTATATGGAATTCTGTCTTATTCTTTTTTTGGAACTACTGGCTGGTTGTGTTAACCATCTTGAAAAATATGAGTTCGTCAATGGGAAGGATGACATCCCATATATGAAATGGAAAATAAACAATGTTTGAAACCACCAACCAGACTGGTTATACGGAATGATGTTTTATACGATCTGGAGACCCTCCGGACATCAAGCATGGCTGGAAAAAAAAACCAGCCATAGTTCGATGATTTTCCCAACGAAACCTCCATTGTTGATGGGATTTCACTGCTGAGCATGTTTGAACGAAGAAGTAGTTTTATGTGGATTTATGAGAGATTCTGGATGGGCTTATATGGTCTTATATGGTCCTATTGGATCTTTATTTTGGGTGAAAATAAACCACTCACTTGGGTACCCGTGTCCTGGGTAAATCGAAATTCATGGATGTTCATTCCCCCAATAGATGGTATACATATCAAGGCTTTGACCCAATTTCCACTGGCCAACCAAGTAATTATCCACCAACCATCAGTTATCAATTATACCCTCACATGTTTGGTGCTTAGCACTCCGTATGTATACTTAAATCCCCATGAAATAACCAATCAAACAGACTTTTTGAAACTAACTTGGATTCAATCTGGTTAAATCCCAACTTTTCATCAAAATCAAGTTTCAGATGTTCCTTCAGCCTAGGCTAAACGCTTACATAGATGGAAAAAACAACAACATGGTTTCGGAAAATGATAGACTTTTTGTGCTGGGTGTTCCAAATCGATTTTACCCTCTGGTTATTTTTTTACATAGCCATGGTATAGATGGCCCATAGAAATGGATGGTTTACCCATTAATAATGGTGGATCTTTCCATGGCTATGTTAGTCATAACCAGATGGAAATCACAACTATGGGTATACCCTCTGGTAAACGTTTACATAACTATGGAAAGATCCACCCTTTTAAATGGGAAAACTCACTATAAATAACGGGAGGGTAGCTAAAATTTCCCCATTTCCCGGCGAAAACGTACGGTGAATCACCGAACCGATGCCTGCGCAGCATGCGATCGAAGATGGGGGCTAAGTCCTCGCGCAGCGAACGGCTCTGCATCTGCCGAACCTGAGGCTTGCAGATATCATGGGAGGATCATAGATTTAGCATATATTACCATGAATATATATATATATATGTCCCATATATATATATATATATGTCCCTTCAAGTTTCAGTTTCAGGTTTCATAGATGTAGTATATATATATATACACCATATACCATATACCATCCCATTAATTGTTGGTTATATATGGTTTTATTATATATATATACTGGTTGGTGGTTGACTTACCCCTCTGAAAAATATATGACTTCGTCAGTTAGGATGATGACTATTCCCAGCTGAATGAAAATCATGTTCCAAACCACCAACCAGTATATATTACCATGATCATCCCATGTATATATCCCATGAAATATCATCCCAATGTTCATGGTGCAGAGGGATGATCATGGGATATATCAACCCTCTGGTTTCAACAGATTACCAGTAACAAACGAGATAAATCGTGGAGATTGACCAGCAGTTTTTATGATTTTCGTGGGCAATTTCTGGATTTACCGGTGATTTAACCCAGAATTGATCTATCCTGCATCAATCATGTTATCAATGGATAAATTCTGGTTTAATTCTGGGTTAAATCTGGGTTAAATCACCCGGTTAAATTCTACTGGTGAAACTCCCGACTTCAAGGGAAAACTACAGGTACTTATGATGGGCCATGGAGTTAGTTAACCAGTTAGTAACTGGATTATAATTGGGATATAGGAGGTTATATCCCCAGTTACTAACCAGTTAGCTAATCCCATGGCCAATCTAAGTATCAATGAATCTCCGTGATTTTATTTGGGGAAGATTACAGAGGAGAGTGAATGATTTTGACCCACAAATCGCTTGGGCATTCCGGTTTCAATGATCCATCAAACCAACACTTGGATGGCTGATCTATGCGCTACTGATGGGTATTGAAGATGTATGGGTGGTTGATTTGTGGTATAATAGTATAATGTCTACATGGATAAGAATCGACCCATAATGGGTTGTTCAACTTGGTCCTTGGGTTGGTTTACAAATTTGCAGGAAGACTTTTTTTTACCATCGAATGTGGACGTTGCCTGTACTTGTTCCTTTCATCCGATTCTGGTATCTATCAGATGTTGCAGAATCCAAGATTTTGTCAGCAAGGGGGAGCTGAAGAATGTGTGGATTTTGTTGGGTTCCGACAAGAAAACATTGGACTCTTAGGGTACCACATGCGAATGCTTGACTCACGAACATGGGAACGGTACGTTTGGTTCGCCAACATCTTTCCGCACAAGTGGAGATTCAATGCGATTATAGCCAGTATAAATTGAATTGCCTTGAAACCCTAGCACAACAAGGCATGAAACATCAAATGCTAAGCTGATGAAAATTTGGGATCTCAAACCACAGAAATTTCACCCAGAACTTCAAGTGGGGCCCAAAACCGCCTTCAAGTGGGGCCCAAAAACCACAATCCACCATGCACATATCATTTTTGGATGTTGTTCTCATTGAAAATCCATGAGTTTTAAGCATTGCCATGCTTGGTTCCTAAAAAACCAAGAAAGGTCATCCTTTTCCAGAGCCTACAAGATGAGCGTCAAGGCACCGTGGTAATTGGACAGACATACCCTCTGGTAATCAAACATAGCAATGGAAAATACACCATTTGTAAATTAAAATTGATGATTTTCCCATCCATTTTTGATGGGGGTTTTCAAGTGTCACGTTTGACACCGGAGGGTTTGCCAAAAAATCCTCACTTTTGATCCATCCCTCAGCTGGAGTGCCGAATGGACCAGGTAGAGGAAGTGTGCGAAGTCCATACAGCCTCCGTGGCTGAAGTCGCTGCAGGTGATAAAAGTCGCAGGAAAACCAGGAAAACCTCTTCGCAGGTGAAAAAAACATCCAACATCCACCGGAATCCAAAGTTCTTCCACCCACAATGAACAGAATCTGCCTCTTTTCGCGTGGCTTCCCATGAATTTCACCATTTTCGTGCTAGCAAAACATCCAGTTTCTGGTTGCTCAAACCAACCATTAGGCCTTGTCCAAGAAAAAACAGTGTAAAACAACTCCAAACAATCCAGTTGTTTCTCATTCTGCCACGTTTAAACAAATATACAGAGATATATAGTTATACAAAAACAATATATAGATATCCAATAAAATATATACATAGTTATACAAATGTATAGTTGTAGATATATCTATATGTAATTGTAGATATACATATGTACCTATATTATATTGACCTTGCCATCTGCCCAAAAAAATCATCTACCGCGCCTTCGTCCAGACTTCCCACCTGCGAGGAGAGTTGCAGGAATTCGCTGGACTGCAACAAAGCCTGGCGCAGCAGGTGATTCCCTTGGGTTTTCCATTGGAAAATGCTGACCGAACTCCAAAAAATGAGGATTTCTTAGGGGATTTCTTAGGATTTCTTAGGGGATTTCTTAGGGGATACTTAACCAAGAAAAAGCGGTATGTTTCTGAAACTGGTGGATTTAGCCCCAGAATAGGGAAATTTGTCAATGATTTTTCCTATCTGGACCAATGTCCAACCCCAAACCCAAGATTCGAATGTTTCTTTGCTCATTTTCGGCCTTCTGTTTTCGGCCTTCTAAACAAACATAAAACACGATAAAACACCCTAAAACACCCCCGACATGGGATGCAAAAAAAACCGGGGAGCCTTTTTTTTGACCATGTCCCATCTGTCCCATCCAAAAATCATCCCTTTGGGAGACGGTGACTATCCATGGCACCTTCCTAGATCTGGTCGAGGTCGACATGTCATGTTTCTTGGTGAATGGTCATGATGCCATGAAAAGTGAGTGACAAAACTTCAAAATATGGTTTTGTAAAACTTATAGACCATTGAAACCAGCCCCACATGTTTAGAAAGATGCAGCATGCCATGTAGCAGCCATGATGGTCATGATTTCTGCATGTTTTTTCAGTACTTTCAGTCGGACATTTCTCGCCTTCAAGGCCGCTTTGGTCCCCAGCCAACGTTGGGAGTTCCTGGCGGCGCAGACGCGCGAAGCGTCGTAGGATTTTCACCATTTTCACCGAATCCCATATCTTCACCATTGCTGATGAAGTTATGTTCAGTTACATCGGTGTTTTTCCCATGGTTTTCCGATGATTTCCTCCATATTTTCCCATATTTTCCAAGGTTTTTCCCATGGCCCATGGGAATTTTCCCAACGAGAAATCCCGCCTGGGCACGTTGCTGCGGTCGCGCGCCACGTGCGCCACGTGCGCGTGGCGCGTGTCGTGGCGTCCGGGGGCCGCATCGGCACAGGCCGTGGAGATCATCACCAGCATCACCACTTTGTTCTGGGAAAACCGTGGGGAAAACGTTGGAAAATATGGAGGAAATGGAGGAAATCATGGGGAAAACGTGGGGAAAAACATGGGGGAAAACGTGGGAAAACGGAACATCATGGGAAAATCCATGGGGAAAATCAGCTGGTTTTTCATTGGGACATGGGAAAAGGGGAGCTTTCATGGGGATGGGATGAACTATGACAATGGAAAATGGTGAGACTTCACCTGATTTTTCATGGGATTTATAGCTGGTTGATGATAGCTAATAGTACTGCAATTGGGGCGATACAACTATGGCTACTATGGGATTCTAAGTTCCATAGGAGCCCTCGGCCCTTTTTGACTATGGTAATTTGTGGTTTTTCCCCAGTTCGTTAGCGAAGTTGGTGCAAATATTGGGTTTATGAGGATTCTATCAATACCAACTATTTGCACCAATATCAACCAGCTTAATAGGTGACCATAGGGTGGTTCTATCACTAAACCAAATCAATATACCCTCTGGTAAACTAACATAGCTGTTGAACATTGCCATTGAAATAGTGGATTTGCCCATTAAAAATGATGGATCTTTCCAAAGTTATATGAGTTTACCAGAGGGTAGTTGGTTTATTTAACCAATCGGTTATATCACCATAGTTGGTGACCATTGCAAATGGGGATTATAAACCAACTTTTCGACCTGGGGCGCACCACGATGGGAGCTCCGATGTTTTTCAACAACTGATAAAGAAAACACATACATACTCGTGTATGGTGGAGTATCATATACCATCTGGTTATGACTAACATAGCCATGGAAAATCCCAACCATAATAAATGGAGGTTTATAGCTGGGAAAATAATCTATTTCTATGGGCAATTTTCCATGGCTATGTTAAATAGCCAGAGGGTAAATATATTTACATATCATAATAAATGATGATATATATATATATATATATACGTACATACATTACATTACATTCCATTGCCATTGCAATACATTACATTGCATTCATTTTAAATATATGTATATATATACTAATTGGTGGTTTCAACCCCCCTGAAAAATATGAAAGTCAGATTGGATCATCATCCCAACTATTGGGGAAAATTAAAAATTCCATGGTTCCAAACCACCAACCAGTATATATATATATGGCTATGGATCAATACCTATTTTCATACCATTTTTAGTGGGTTATTCACATCCATAAATCCCAGCTATGACTTGATGTGAACAAAAAAGGGGTACTATTGGTTTTGACACACTGCCATATAAGTATATATATATATATAATGATTATGATTATAATATATAATGCCACTATTTATGATTATAATATATAATGCCAACCCTGGATTAATAACCCATAGGCTGTTTAATTGAGGGGATACCATTTAAGTACCCCCCCTATCTTGTGCTTCTGGCGATACATCTCCGTCCTGATTCATGTGGGGCAGCAGCCCCAAGTTGCTCAGGGCTACCCAAACTTCCACCTGAACGGCTGGAGAAAGTCGGTGATCTTTTCAAAACGGGCTGGTGATATATTATTGATATATTCATATAAAATGGGGATATGAATGGGAATATATATATATACACAGTATATGATATAGATAAAGTATGATAAAATGATATCCATAGATGAAGTGAATCGGGATAGTTATCTAATGGAACTGGTGATGTGTTCATGAAAAACATGTGCATAAGAACCATATATGATAACCATAGACTAGATATAAGTGGAACCGGAATCTATGAAGGATCCATGGAAAATTCATCCAGTTGTTTGTCTCAAATCCATGCCGTAAAACGGGCGGTTTCCTGTCAACTCCGTAGCCTCTATTTTCCAACCAGACCAGAAGATATATCTTCCCGAGGTACATGCTATCTGTAGAAGTACATCATTTCACACCTTGAATTTTTCCCCAGGAATGTGCTTTACCCTCTGGTAAACATACCAAAAAACTATGGAAAATCACCATGTTCAATGGGAAAACTCACTATAAATGGCCATTTTCAATAGCTATTTTGACATAACCAGAGGGTATGCTTGGTTAGAAAAATCCAGATTTTCCTTTGTTAATCTCATTCAATCCCCATTTTGTTAGTCGGCCCCTTGCAAAAACAAAAACTTCCTCAATTATCCACTAATCATCCACTACTCTTGGTGATTGTCCATGGGTTTTGGGTTTTTTCTTCGTTGAGCCCCATTTACCCTCTTGGTCAACATACAAAAAACTATGGAAAATGGCCCAGTCGAAATCGTTGATTTACCCATTAAACATGGTGATTTTCCATAGTTATGTGGCTGTTCACCAGGCCGGGTACCTTTGTTAATCCAGCTACCCTCTGGTAAACTAACGTAACTATGGAAAGATCCACCATTTTTAATGGGAAAATCCACTATAAATCACCATTTTCAATAGCTATTTTGACATAACCAGAGGGTATGTCCCCATTGATTTGGACGGCCGCCTTCTTTAGCACTCCGCTGTTGCTGTCATCGAAGGAGTGGAAGAGATCCAGCATCACCTCCAACTCCTGAAGCGATGTCGGACGTGTTCGTCATAGGGGACCTTTGATTATAGCAATAATGATACTAAACAAATAACAATAACAATAACAGTTGTTATAATCAAAGGTATATTATGTTATAATGTTATAATCAACAGTTTGATATTCTAAACAAATGCAATAATCTGGGTGAAATATAATATTTCACTAACCTGAATTAAGGCCATTTGGAGATGATTCCCCTTGCTAACCATGATTCCAGTGAGGTCGCAGTGAAGTCATTATAATTTACCCAGAATAATGCTAACAATAACAACTGTTCACAATACTAACAGATAGTTGTAACACCAATCACAACACAATAATAACACCAATCAACAACAACCACATGAAAATAACATCATAACAACAAGCTGGGATCTTCTGATCTTTTTCCCCATCTTACCATCTTACCATCTTACCATCCCCCATCCCAAGACCCGGCCCTAGGGCCCCATCCCGTTGCGGATCTCCTTGCGGAACTCCTGGAAGAGCGCCTTCCCCAACCCCAGCTGCTCTGCCAGGTCGATTTGTCGCTGCACCAAGTGTCGCCCATGGGCCTCTTCCAGGAAAGCCGCCATGACCTGGAAGCGAAGCGAAGCGAAGCGCGAAACTTCAACGTTTCGTCCATGAAGAACTATGGTTAGTAACCATTCATGGTTCATAATGGTGATTAATGGTTCATAATGGGTTAATAATGGTGGTGGTGATTTTGCAGTTCGCAACCTGTTAGCTTACCAGAGGGTATGAGTTCTTTTGTTTCATTTACTCAGTAAAACCATCTCCATGAAGGTTTCTAAAAATCGGCACCATCTTTTTTGGCTGATCCTCCGCTGGCGGAAAATCCAGATGTGAAAAAACGGCTCCACTGAAAAACCATCTGGTTTTATCTCCATGTCTCATTAACTAATATTAACTATATGGGGCTTTCCATAAATGGTGATACCTCAAAATGGATGGTAAAAATAGTGGAAAATTCCTGTCTATAAATGGATGATTTGGCTGGGGATAGCCCCAATCAAAAGGAAACCTGATGAAACCTCTATATCTCCATAAAAAAGAACATCTTACCCTTCTCTTGTTGCGGAAAAAAATACGTCCCATATCGCCGTGGCCGCTGAAATGGGGAGGTGTTCCAGAATCTTATCATTTTCTACAGGGATCAAGATCCAGCTATTTTTCAACTATTTTGGAGGCTTTTGACAGCAACATGGTCCTTTTAGGAAAAACATTGTAGCTACTTAGCTACTGGTTCTGTAGGGAAAGCTCTATTTTCATCAACCAAGAAACCTGCGGGAGGACATAAACATGACGATGGCAATTAGCCCAACTGAAGTTGGGATTTTTGACATGATTTCTGACCAAAAAATGACGTTCTATATCAATGGATTGGTTCAAGGGAAAATCTTATCAAGGGAAAATCTTAACCGGAAACCCATGGTTTTTACCATCAAATATAGAGGTTTCCGGTTAAAATGACCCCATCATCCAATTCTATGACTATATGGTTCTATCACATTCTAACGCTTATTAAGGTGGAACTGGCGAAAATCAGTGATAGAACCATCAAAAATAGTGATAGAACCATATATGGTTGATATTACTGTGGTTAAAACAATGTCATAAACCAGCCATTTGGAAATGGTAACCATACCACCTATTTATATATATCTATATCTATTTATGGTGACTGGGGGATGGTTCATGACATTGTTTTACCCACATGAATCTATGCCCAGCAGTTTTTTTCCAAACCTCCACTTCGAACTTGTCGAACTTCATGTCGGGCAGCAGCCGTGGCAAATCTTCCAAGGCAACGGCGTCGTGCTGGTCCTTTTTTTCACCAAGAAATGTATCACCGGAGCTTCACTTGGAGAATATATAATCCTTATGTCATCCTTATTATAATCTATGGGTTAAAATATGTTATAATCCTTACTATACTATAATGACTGTAATCCTTAATAATTGATCATCGAGCTAACTGATATGGGTTAGTTAATACCTCGTTATACTGTTGATATGGGTTATACTGGTGATATGGGTTAGTTCATAATCCCCAGAATAACCAGGTTATTTGATATCCTTTGCAAAACCAATCAACAGTATTGTTTCATGGTTCAAGTAATCCATAGTAAACACTATGGAATAAGCTTCAATTAAAATGGCTATGTGGCAGTGTGGGTGCCCCGCGGGGCCGCTAAGTGATTTCTGCCGCTTGCCCCGCTTGCCCCGCTTGCTCCGCTTCTAGGGAAAATAAGTGAATCTTCCTCCTTGCCCCGCTTGCCCCGCTTGCCCCGCTTGCCCCGCTTGCCCTACTTGCAAACCGAGGGAAGATCGGTGGTTCTTCCCTCTTGCCCCTCTTGCCCCGCTTGCCCCGCTTGCCCCGCTTGCTTTGGTTTCACCACCAGCAGTATGAAAAGGGAATAGAGGTGGTAAAACGTGAATGGAATGTTTGGGCGAGTGGGGCGAGTGGGGCGAGTGGGGCGAGTGGGGCGAGTGGGGCGAGTGGGGCGAGTGGGGCGAGTGGGGCGAGGGGGGCGAGTGGGGCGAGTGGGGCGAGTGGGGCGAGTGAGGGCGAGTGGGGCGAGTGGGGCGAGTGGGGCGAGTGGGGCGTGTGAGGCGAGGGAGGCGAGTGGGGCGAGTGGGGTCGAATGGGGCGAGTGGGGCGGCCGACGGGGAGTAAGTGGCGAAGGGTGTCAAGCGCAGTTGAGCGGGGTGGGGAAGACACTTATGTGAAGAAGGTGGAATGTTCGAACTAACCACAATGTATGCACATTTTCTCCCAAAAATCCATCCATGCCTTGTTGGGGCGTGGGCGAGTTTACATGCCTGGAATATTAATGCAACACTTTTCGCAAGTTTAGGTGTAGAAGCGAGCCGCCTGACGGGTCGACGTGAAAATGGAGGGGCCGGGGGAGCATCTTGGGTCATTCTTAGTATGATCTACACCCATAAAATGATCCGTATCCATATATGATCCCCATCACCATACGATCCACAATCATCACAATCATTCATGTTATCCTTTTTGTGATCATATCACCATCCATACCCATATGGAAGGTTCCATGACTTATCATGGGACTACTCACAAGAAGCACTTCCGTTTCTCGATCTGCCCACTGCAGTTGGTGGGATTGGGTAAATGGGACCTGAGCAGAGCAACACGATGTACAGATTCAAAAGCCTGCTCCGTAAGTAAAATCAAAAAGTAGAGAAGCCGTTCGAGCCATCCTTTTCCGAAGAATAGGTATGCATTTGGTCAGTCTGCTAAGTGTTGGCAGAACATGCTAACAACAGAATGATCAAGAGGCAACAGCAACGAGGTTCTTCGATTTTGCCCAAGATGTTGAAGCATTCTACAACCTTTTCACTCAAACAGCAAGACTTTGGAAGATTGAAAAAACCTCGCTCAAAGTGAAAACGCACCGGCTCGCTTCACGAGAATCGGCTGGCGTCAGATTTGGAGAAACCTGGCACAGCAGTCCGGTAAGGCCAAAGAGGTTCAGTGCCAAAGCTGAAATCCAGTGGTTGAATGGGGTTTGAAAGCATCTTCTTCCCCATCAAAGTTGCCAAAAAATGGAAAAACAATCAGTCTTCCCCTGAACCCTGCCTAGCTCCTTGCGGAGAACCACCTGAACAGCACAGGACCATTTTTTATATGATCCAAGGAGGGCAAACAACCAGTTGGTACATGATATAATATCAATGATGTACATATATATATATTATAGTGTCTATATATATATAATATCTGTAAGTATGGCGTAAATATGGCACAAACATGGGGTACCATTTAGACCCGCAAAATTCGTGATATTCGTTGCTGGGATCTCAATTGTGAAGCCTCCTATCTAGGAACGAGGCCAGCTAGACTAATCCTGCAGGTCATATGTTCTTTGGGAGCTGGACACTTTTCATTGCTAAGACTTGTGATTTCGTCACCCTGCTGGATTAGCCACTCATCAGAGTTTTCAGGAAGTTCTTGAAGTTTCGACTCTCGGTTGTCTGCATATGTCTGGATGGGATGTTGATGTTGCATCTAATTTTCCTGGTAACAATTCATCTCTGGCAGACTCTGGCATGCTGGTGCTTGCCAACCATCATTGAACGACAGTTGCTGCCTCTCAGATGGATAAATTGAGCCATGAAATTACGCACATCACATCTCACCGTACAGCTTGGTCAATAGGTATCCCGTAAATTATGGGCTGTCACAATCCGTATGATCAATCATAAATTCCAACCATCAATTTCGTCAATGATAAATAAACAATATAAACATCTACCCCACTACATATATCATAACACATCAACAATAATAATGGAAGTATAAGCCTTAAAATAGGCAACACTTCGGATGGCTTGGGACCCACAGATCTCCATCCGGCCTCACAACTTGCCTCACAACTTGGCCGCGGGCTCCAAGCACTGGTAGGTTCGCCTGAAGTGACGCAGTTTTGGCACAGATTTGGTGGGAAATCCGGAACATCTTGGGAACTGTTGGAAGAGGTGGAACATGATTTGCGAAATCCATGGAGCAAACCATGCAAACTGTGGATGTTTGTGATCATACAGATAGATATAGAGATATAGATAGATAGGTAGATAGATAGACAGATAGAGATAGATAGATAGATAGATAGATAGATAGAGATAGATAGATAGATAGATAGATAGACATAGATAGGTAGATAGATAGTTAGATAGAGAGATAACTTACATTAAAGAACTCCTGCCGGGGTCTCACCATTCCCAACTCCCTGTAAAGAGTCTTAGACAGATAGATAGATAGATAGGTAGATAGACAGACTACAAGATAGAAAGAAAGGTAGATAGATAGATAACTTACTTCAAAGAACTCCTGTCGGGGTCTCACCAATCCCAACTCCCTGTAAAGAGTCTTAGAAAGAAAGAAAGAAGGATAGATAGATAGATAGGTAGATAGCTAGAATCCGAATCGCACAAGGAACATCTCACGCGGTTCCAACAATCCGTAAAGGTTTAAAGCTGGTCCCTCTCCTTACCAGAATTTCAAATTGCAAAACTTGAGCCAGCGAGTCGATACCAACTAAATACATTGCTGGCATACTACATGGCGCGCCCAGTGCAATGGAAATACCGTGCTAATGCGTATTGGAGATGAGGGATGCACTGTGGACGCTTGGGGAGACCAACCATGGGGTTCCCGACTGTCATCGTGAAATCCTGAAAGCGACAGCCAAATCACACAGAAAATCACTGCGATTCCACGGAAATTTCTCTGGGGTTCTCCATTGACAAACCGGGATAGAGCACAGTGCAACGTTCCAAACCATTCCAAGAGCATGCAACTTCAAAGTTTCAAGGAAGGAATAATTTTTTCACTGCATTTCATCTCAAAGCCGCCAAGATCTCCCGGCAGGCGTCCCGCAGCTCCACGGGAACACTCAACTCAATTTCGGTGTCAACATCCTCGGCATCGAAGGACGGCAGTCTCCTTGTTTCCCTTTCCGCAAGGAGCTCGAGCCACTCCCTCCATTCATTCTCCACTTGTTCCTTCTTCCCGGCTTCTTCAGGAATAGCGCTGCAAACGAGCTCTCTGCGCACTTTGTGGCCGAAGAGTTCAGCAGCGGCCAGCATGATGCACCGGGCCACACTGTGCGATCTGCACCTGGACAAGACCACCTGCTGATGCTCATGGGCTCGCTCTAAGCCCATGCAACAGTAGGTATGGAGAAGCTCAGTGGTGGCCGAAGACGCTACGGCTCGAATGGTGTAGGCCGGGCGTTCTGATCGGCACTGTGGGATGTAAAATTCCTGCACTCCGATCGTGACAGGATCCCATTTGTGTACCGTTGTTTGCTGCTCCAGTCTCACACCTTGCTCCACAAGGTCGGTGGCCTGACATGGCAAATCAATTCGATTACAAAGCGGTTTGGTCATGGTATCCCTTAGCTAGGCCGACAAGGTCTGTGGCCTGATAGGCCAATTCCCCAGCTACTTCCAAAGGCGATTTTGCCATCATATCATATCGATTAGCCATGCCGAAAGTCTAGTCAAATGCAGCAGCAAGCAACCCAGGCATCCGCTCAGCTACCAATGTCTACCCAAGCAGAAACACTACAGACAACAGCTTGCTTGGCACAAAGTGCAGAACCATGTGCAGCTGGCCAATTGCTCGCACACCGTTTCAATTGAGCTATGCCTGCGCGCAACGCGGTCTAGCGCACACTGGGTTGAAAGCCCTGCTTTGCTGCAACCTTGAGCCAACACCCTAACGCTCCTGCAAATTCTGCACTTTAGCTTTGGGGCCGCAAATACTGCTTGACTGACAACGCAGACAAATCACTGAAACACTTGTAGCGGGTAAGCAAACAATCCCTAGTGACCACTATCTTGATATATCTTGATGCGTGCTCTTGCATCCACCAATCAAACCGTGAGCCTCTGCTTGACCATCCACTCAACAGTCAATTTCACCTACCAACTGTAAACAGATGGGCCAAAGCAAAAGCTTGCATTTGAAGTAAGCATCCATTTCTTTTGAGCGAAACATAAGCAAACGACCGATTTCAATTTCAATTTCTACGTCCTGCCCAATGCTTCAGCCCCAATGCGGAAGCTGCATCGAATGAATCCTCGCTTGATGTTGCTGGAATGAGAAACATAGGCCTATCGTAGTTACAGGTAAACAGGTAGGTGTGGATTGCACCCGGTCTCAATCAGAACATGCCAGTCATATATGCGGGAAAAGAAATTGACGATGACATATTCTAATGTGGTGTGCAATACATGGAAAGGAACAAACCGCTGCATGGTCCACTGTTTCTTATACACTCAAATATGGT